CCACCAAATTCAGGGGATCCCTTCAGCTCGAGGAGCCCTCTCAAACGCCACCCTCCACGCATCGGTAGCCCCCCGGGATCGCTAGATCGGTCGGCGCCAGGCATATCGGCTAAACGATATATCGGTCGGGCTCTACAAAATATTTCTATTTCAAATAAATGCTGTCGAATGTTCTATTCATGAAAGAATCCTGTGAAAAAATTGCATCCGTTTCCACAAAAATATGCATATGCAACATATATTTGTGGAAAAATATTGTAAACATAAGCAGCACAAACTGTTTTCAACATTGATAATAATAATAAGACATGTTTCTTGAGCAGCAAATCAGCATCACACACATGATCGAAATCAGGATCATGTGACACTGAAGACTGAAGTAATGATGCTGAAAATTCAGCTTTGCATCACAGGAATAAATTACATTTTAAAATATATTTACACAGAAAACAGTTATTTTAAATTGTAATAATATTTCACCAAATCACTGTTTTATTGTATTTTTGCTCAAACAAATGCAACCTTGGTGCGCATAAAAGTCTTCTTTCAAAAACATTATAAAATCTTACCGACCCCAAACTTGACCAGTAGCATATAGAGAATAAGATTTTGGATAAATCAAAGAACCATCTACACTTCTGAACTTTTCCTCCACTGTTTTTGCTGTTAAAAAACATGAATTACAGTAACAGTTAGACTGACGAACAGAGCGAATATTAAACTGGACTAAACCCACGCTGCTGTTTTAGCATTTTAATTCTCAGTGTCTGCTCTTCCCCAGCGCTTATCTATTCCAGCTGTCTCTCAAGAGCCGTGATCCTCTTTTCAGAACAACACGGATGGAAATAAACAACCCAGACAGATGTTAAACCCTGTTCCACAACAACACGCTCCCAGACCTGCGAGCCGTCATCCTGGAGGGCTTCTTCCTGGCAGCGGTCCTGAACGGAACAGGACAGCAGACTACATCCACCCCGAGCACCCACGCCTGCCAACGCTACAATCTGTTTTTTTTGGAGCCTAGGGATCTCAACCACGAGTTTAATCTCCAAAGTCTCTGCAAAAGGCTAATCTTACAATTAGCATGCTGTTAATGAGGCCTATAGAACTAAGTTAAGAACACAAAAATAGAGCATAGATTTTTTTTCTAGTGTTTTTATCTAGATTTAATTTGAATTTCCCAAACATATTACCATATAAACAGCGATTTCATACAGTCTCGGTTTCAGGCGGCGTGTTGACAGACCGTTCATGGATCATCTGAAGCATATTGCGCATAATAATGAAGCTTTCCAAAATCATAATCTCAGATTGGCTAGCTTTACGTGATTTACGGGAATCTTTTTCAGCCTTTTTTATGTTTATCTCCCAGTTTCTGTGAGTCACCAAACAGAAAAACAGTCACGCTTGCTTTTTGTTCCCAAGCTGCCAAGATGAGCGCTTCCAAGGCATTGAATCTTTGAAAGATATTCAAAAGTTGAGACTTTCAATAAGGAAAAATTTTTTTTTTCTGTGAGTCACCAAACAGAAAAACAGTCACGCTTGCTTTTTGTTCCCAAGCTGCCAAGATGAGCGCTTCCAAGGCATTGAATCTTTGAAAGATATTCAAAAGTTGAGACTTTCAATAAGGAAAAAAAATTTAAAAAAGCCTGGCTACGTGAAACTAATTTTCATATATACTACAGTGTGAAAATAGCCTCTGTGTACAATTCAATTATTCAAAATTACAATCAAATGTCATCAGACTCAAACTCAAAAGCCGAGGAGAGGAAGAAAAGGAGGGAGGCCCACAGCTCAAGCTCTCCGCACTAATTTGTTGGGGACGCAAATATTCAATAATTCATAATTCTGTGTGAGTGAATGCTAAAAACAGCGTGTAGACGGGTGAGTC